TATGATCTCTAAATTATTTAAAATTTATTAATAGAAGAATATAATTTTTTAAATTGTATGTCGTCAGTCAACAGTGACTGACGCGGCCCGAACGAAAAGTATACTGTCAATCACCGGTGACTGACATGGCGCTTAACGTGTTAAGGGTAATATAACTGCATTTTGATCACTTTCCACTATGTACGTATAAATACCAACGTGGCCATCCTATTTTCTTAGTTTCATTCGCTGGAAGCTCTTATTTACTTGTACTCGTAGAACACATGACGATAACAAAGTTCAGGGAACTAAAACTGAAAAATCTACTGACGAAATGAAAACTATTTAATGATATTACATCATTTATTATAATACCATTACAGTTAACATTCCAATTGCTTGCAATTTAATTATGAAAGGGTGTACTCATTTGTAAGTGGCAGAAATTCTTATTCGACAGGTTTGACGATTCTTTTGCCATATATTATTAGTACACGCTCGAATTGGGAGCATTGTAAAATGAGGATTTTCGCGTTAGCCAACCACAAACAAGACATCGTGGCACAAGAAAAAGAGTAAGTCCAAAGTTATAAAAATATCCTTAATCCTAAATCTGTCTCTAACCACAATTTTCATTTCATATTTATTATACAGAATAATAAAAGAAAAATAACACTTCACAACTTCTAGGGTAGATAGTACTCGCCAAATGATGAAAAAAGTCCTAATAAACATGGGTCGAAAAATTAATATTTTCAAAGTTATAAACAATTTTTCGTTTCGGTTAAAGCGACTGACTTTTTTGTTTCGGGAGCTAAGAAAATGTATAACTAACGTCTTGTAATGAGATAATCCTGTGTTACGATCAGGAACTTATACCAAAATGTAAAATACCGGTATTATACCGATATTTTTCGGTTGTACCTTCGTAATCCTTGAAGAATTATAAGGAAAACTGACAAATATCGGTATTTTACATTTTCTTAGCTCCCGAAACCAGAAAGTCATTCGACCCATGTATATAAGGAATTTTTTTCATCATTTGGCGAGCACTATCTACCCTAGAAGTTGTGAAGTGTTCTTTTTTTTATTATCCTGTATATTTATTTATAATGAATGAGAATAGATTCAACTGATATTTTAGCATCGTCAGCTGAAAAATTCCATTTTCAGAATTGACGTGCAGAATAATCAATTTTATTATCGATCGTTATTTTTACACCCTTCAGGATGGCCGAGATCATGACTAAATTCAGGATAAGATATACCAGTTTGAAAATGGTAGACGACATTAGCGTTCAACCAAAACAAGAAACGCAAGATTTCTTTGATAAGCTAATATCTAATTTCCGAAAGAATGATCCTGGTGATACAGGTAACAATGGACTCTTTTTTTAAATATAATACACCGACAGATCACAAAAACTGATAATTCCAATCGTTATTATCAGCTCGATTGACGTAAATCATTGTCAAGTCAATTTACGTTTAATTTTTTATTCTAGAGTGTTGCGTGACAGATCTTGAACTTCAGTCTTTGAAAGACAAGACACATAGGCAGTTAAGACTGCGAGAGTTATTATTGGAAAATTCCAGTCAATCCAAGTTGGTTGTAATGTATGTATATTTAGCATTTATATAAACAATGGGCGCTATTTTTACGACTTATTTTTTGTTAACGACGTATATTCTAACAAATGACTTTAACAAGCATGCCAATATTTAAACCCTTATAATCCTTATACTACAAATTTCCATTGTTCCAAGAATACACTTCTTTTTTTTCATTAAGCAAACTGCCTGATAATGATGAAATACAGTGAGAAATATTTAATTTCCAAAATATTAGTACAATATTATTAGTAACTTGTATATTTTGCTGGCACTTGCTACTACAGTTCATAACAATGAAATTAAGTGCATCAGTTTACTCGATAAATTAATGTAAATTCATTTGAGGATTAATCACGATATATACGCAGAACAATCTTCCATTTTCGTTTAATAATCGTTTTCCAATTAATACTTGTATCTCATCTGTAACAATAGATACATTTACTAAAACTTAAAAATTGATTCATGATTCGATTCTACAACTTTTTCAAGATATATATATGTATATCCATTCAGTTGATTAAGCGAACCATTAGAACTATTATATCTTTCGAATTTTTGAATTTTACATTGAATAGTTCGAAAATTACAACTAAAGCTTTAAGTAGAAACATTTTCGTTCATGCACACGACCGTTTTAACCTAAAAACCCGTTCTATTTGACGTCCATTCCGTAAATGTTACATTCCATTACTAAAATAATAGTCTTAACAGTGCACTCTTATGAACGATAATTGTTTCCAATTACAGGTCACTACCTATGCCACGAAAGGGTGCCGTTTCAGCCCCGCTTTATATGGCATGGCTAGAAGCTCTAACCAAAGATATGCCACCGACACTTTTAATACGTGGAAATCACACTTCAGTGTTAACGTTTTACTCGTAGTTCACCGATATTATTGTAAACAATAATATAATTTTAACGTCTAGATGAATTTATGTTGAATAGCATCACGAACAAATGTACGAAACGTGTCTAGAACAAAGAAGACATTTTCTGATGCAGAGAGACAGTATTTCCTATATTCATGCCAAAAATTGTATTATTACTATGATCTGTTTTTCTCTTTACACAGTATTCATCAACGTCAAGCCCAATAGTACTTAACGAAGAGTTTATTTTAGCGTAGAAATGAAAGACAACAGTATAAGAACTTCAATAAACGATAGTGTCGTAGTTTCGATACTAATAGGACTTCAGCGCGCTCTAATGAAAAAGCACACAATGCAAACTACTGGAGAGCGTATTGTGGTTTTCGACGAGTAGTTATTTTATTTTGTTAGTGATAAATGACTTTTATATCGCGCGTACATATTAGATATAATGCTAGAAATATATTATTGACAAAGTAGAATGCAATAGAGAGACTAGATGTTTGATTGAACACGATAAATATCTTAAGCACAAGTTGGACTTAATGACATGTAACCAGACAACTTAGTTATGACATGGTATACTTAATATTAGTGATTTTGTAATTGAATCAAATGTTTCTTACTTCTTATCAGTAATACATTTTCTGTTATTTCTTATATTCAAACAAGTTTTTCTTGTTTCAATCCTGTTGTTATTAATAATTAAAACGATAGATTTTCTTATATTTAAAAATGTAAAACTTTTACACAAGTATTTTATATTTTAAATAATAACATATTTAACAACAAAGTACTTAACTATATGTGTATTAATACAGACATTACTGATACGAAAGTAAGAGATATGCTTTTTATTCTTTTGAAATATTTTTTAGCCATGATATAAAAATGTAGAAACAAAATTTAAATACATTACTTTACTTAAATATGTAAGTGACTTGTATTAGTAGAATAATTGCTTAACAAATATTAGTATACTTCAATCATTAAAATAATAACTTATTTTATAAACGCAAGTTAATAAATTTACAAACAAAACATTACTATAAAATACATCGCTTGTAAATATGAAGATAACTCAAAGAAAATTAGTAAAGTTAAGTCTATGAAAGTGTATAAGATGTTTTATTTATTTTCGAATGCATTTAATGACATGATTAAAAGTTTATGATCAATTGTAATAAATTTGTTGTAATTATTAAATTCCTGAATTTATTTATTTTCTGATTGTAATATTTTATAGTCTTAATGTAATTTTCACCATTTTACAATATAATAATCCATAATTTTTTAAATTTCCATCAAACTTTTGTTTCTAATCAGCAATTAAGGTATTTGAATACAATTCAGGAATCAGTGCTTCGTGTTCGACTTCTCCCATTGAATGAAGATGTTCTATAATCAATACCGATATAGTTATCATTTGTTAATTATGCTATACACTGTATATGTAATATTATATATGTAAAGTTATTATATATAAAATCTTTAAAATAAAAATAACAGTGTTTTGTATACAAATATATTACACTGAAGACATATATACAGACACTTTAACTAATTAGCTCACTTGTTACAATGAGTTTCAAAAATTCTGGCAAAAACAGGTGGTATTTGTTCCAATATATCAGTTGTTAACATTCCTCTTTGCTTTATTTTATAAGCAGATAAATTGCATTCTCTCACTAATCGAGATGCAGCATAACATGCTGCTATTGGAGCCGATAAAGCTCTTTCTTTATTTTCAGAACAGATAGCCCACCACCAAAATGCAGCCAATGCTCCAGCCAGTAAGTCTCCCTGACCTCCGCATCTTCGTCCAGAGCCTCCTAATCCACACGTCACTGTTTCAGTACCTTGATACCCATCTCCAATTACATCCCTTGCTCCTTTATGTAAAATTACTACATTTTTCCCCAAAGCCTCTGCTAAATGTTTAACTTCACCAGCTTTGATCATTGGTGTAGGTTGAATATTTTTTTCAAATATAGCTATCCCAAGACGACTAAATTCCATTGCATTGGGAGTTAAGACAACACCTGGATATTCCTTTATTATATCAGGTTTTTGACATACTAAGAATAACCCATCTGCATCGATTACTAATGGCTTCTTCATATTCCGACAAATTGAAATTAATTCGACAATTGTTTTAAATATTTTGTCCTCTCTTCCAAGACCTGGTCCAATGATAATTATATGCAAACGATCAAGCCATGGTCTTATTTGTTTAATTGCATCATACTGATCTAAAACTGGATGTACAATGGGTTCTGGGCTCATTGATTTCAAAGGAATGCTCGCATCCTTTACACAGAATATGTGTACTAAATCACATCCAGTGCGAAGTGCACTCATAGCTGCGTAATATGGTGCACCAGTATATTCAAGACTACCACCAAATATACCAATTCGACCATCTTGACCTTTGTATTTAGTATTATTTAAATTTGGAACTATTTTTCTTATTTCTCTTAACATACGCTCATCAACTGATACTGATGTAGACATGGTGGAAATTAATAGGAACTTGATTGTATTCCTGTGAGCAAAATGCAAAATTCGTAAAGCCATTCTCAAACTTAAAAATAAAATTGATTTGAATCTAATTATTTTTCTCACGTAGTTCGAACGTAATGGTAACGTAATATGAATGAATGTTTTCTTTCTTATCATAAAATGTTTTATTAATACTAACAGTGTACGAATAAAAATAAATTTAACAGGAAAAAAGTATATACTAAAATACAATATTACCTGTAAAACTTTTAATATTTAAATGATGATTTGTAGAACACTGTCTTTGTTTATTAAATATTAGTTGGCAAGAAGTCGAACAAGAGCACTAAAATGTAGACACTATTAACAAAAAAGATTGACAATATATAACCTCTTTATATGTAAGGAATTACACTATTTCTTATAAATTTCACATGTAATACACAAAAGTAATAACTTTTTAAATATATTATAAGTGCACCTTTTCTACATAAAATAGAAACCTTGTAATAAAAAATTGAACATTTTTCAGTGGAACAATATGAAAATATTAATAACTGCGTACTTGGAAATTTTAAAAAATAATGTTCACTTCGATATTGGTAATATGTTCATTCATCAATAAAAACTTTAGATTTTGATGTAAACAAATTTGACGAGTCATGTTTAAAGAAATATTCAACATAACTACTAATCGTATTCCGAAAATTATTTTATATGGATATTACGATTGTCTATATTTTATTTATTTAATGTATAATAATTTAAAATAATAGATATTAAAAGTATGTAAAGTGTTCAATTATAGTCACCGATATGAATAACATTTTAATTTTTTATTTTATTTCCTGTAGGAAAATTACAAAAAGTAAACCTAACCTTTAGGTTTCCAACTATCGTACCTTAGAAAGAATTTCAACCGAGCAACGTCTATCTACTTTTATTTAAAACGGAAATTAATTGATAATGAGACATACTGTATAAAAAATACTGTGAGAGAAACTTTGACTAATGAAATATATATTATATGTATGTATGTATGTATGTACATACAAGGTCTATAAAAAGGTTGTGTAAAGACTACCACAGCAGTTTCAACACTTTTTGTCCTCGCAACGATTGGAATACGATGCAAGCAAAACAAAATTTAATCTTAAATTTCAAGGTCAAAGACAATTTTGCACGCACCTTTTTCTGACAAACGTCTACGTCTTATTCGAGTCCATGTAAATTGTATTCATGTATGCGGGTCTTAATTTGCGTAACGGATAGATATTTGTAATAAAAGATTTTCCTTTATTTTTGCTGTACTAATAAACGGACCTTTCTTAACTTCTTTAATAATTTTCCTTTTTTTTTATCGTGGGGAACTCCTCATGGACACCCCACTTCCCGGGGGAGAAAGAAAAACACAAAGTTTTAAAATGTATGTACTTAATGCTCCATAAACAAAATGGATTTAAAATTGTAATAAATTTTAAATTTCTGTAGTCAAATCTGATACGACATCCACGCTCGAATGAAAAATTTCAAATGAGATATCTTTTGCTCTTAAGCTTTTATTACGTCCCATGTTATTCAAGGATTTCCCTAATCTCAAACGAGATATTTTTCTGCTTTTAAAAGCTCTTATTACGCTCCTTGTTAGCGAAATCATGTTACAGAAGTGTCGTGTTATACAGGGGTTACCTGTACGAACAAATGTAAACCAGTTTTTCTCACCGACAAGATCAGATTTATTCGAACTTCCGAACGTACACCATCATTCTTACACACTTAATAAAGTCATTGTCTTATAACAGTAAATTCCTCCTTGTGCCTCATTTCTAAAAAGTCCCCGTGTGCTACCTAATTCCCGATTCCGGGTAAATTCCTTTAGTGACTTAACCTAAAAGAGGGACAACAATTCGGTTCGCGACGCGTCAGATTGCGTAATTTCTAAAGCTCAATTTTAATCGGGCGTTTAGCAACTGCTGTATCGTGATTCGTAACAATGTCAATGGAATGTATTTGTCATATTAATGATGTATTTATATTCGATATCGATCAATTGTTAATACATGCTCTTTCTCGATTTAACAGAATTTTAACGAGAAATACCAACACTACCCTTCGTTCGTAAATATTATCGTGCGCGTGTCAAACAATTTTAACGAATAAAAAGATACTATACGTGCGTATACGGATACCATTGATAAAAGTCCAATCTCTGTTGATAATCATCTTTTGTTACAAATCTTGCGAGAATTAAGAACGATCCAGATAAAGATTATTTCCATTCAAAGCATAAAAATGATAAGCGATTCTCAGACATTAAAATATTTAATGTGTTATTGGCATGGACATTTTGAATCATGTTAAATATAAACTTTCTAATCAGTAAGATTTGCTTCTTAATCCTATACTTATTCTTTACCTTTAGAGTCTGTAACGTTTTGTTATGCAACGTCTTCTAAAGGGAACGTGATACTTTTCTTTTTTATAAAAGAAGACATACAATAAATTGATTGTGAGAATTATTTTAAGAGTTTTCGTACGAATAGTATACAGGGTGTCCTGTAAAGAGTGTAACACCCGGAAATGGAGGGTTGCTGGGGTGACTCTGAACAACTTTTTCCTTTACCAAAATGTTGGTTGAAGCATCGTTTTTGAATTATTAACGAAAAACACTGGCCAATCAGAGCGCGCGTAGAGCCCGCGCCCAGAGACGGTATAACAGAGACTCATCCACGCGCGATCAAACAAATCCGACGCGAGACTTCTCGGTTATCGATCGCTGTCAAAAAAATTTGACTTTGCACCGCTATTTTTATAAGGCTTAGAGAAATGGTTTTTTGCCGTCGTTTTTTGAGATTCGAGAAACGAATCTAATGTCATTGGGTTTAACTATTTTTCCCAAGGCAGTGATTTACTCTTTGATGGTAACGTCGTATTTAGACTCAAGAATTACAACTTGGTCTTTTTCGGAGAAAGTATCATATAATACCGCATGTGTATAGAATTTTAGTATTGGAGGTTAAGTTATTCTCTAACGACTGATTTAAGAAGTTATTCGTTGGGTTATTATAATTGCTTAAAAAAAATCTATACACAGTCAGAGGTTTTTTGCATTGGGTTGTCTTAGGTATGAGTGCTCCTATGCGTACACGTTTTCATATCGTTGTTGCTGCAACGTATACGTACAATGTTTCTACTGCTTCTGCAGCCATTAGTGGTACTATTACCTCTTATTCACTCGCACTCACTTATGTTCTCACTTGCACCGATTGGAATATTACGTAGGAAATAGAAAAGTCAACACGCTGTTTATGGAAAACACGTTGTACTCATCAACTGACACAGGAAATTTTTACAATTCTGGTCGAAGGCTAAAAGGACGTATGCATGCAGTATGTCCGTTTTAAATGTCTACACGTGATTATTTCTGTAAGTACCAGAAATGGGAAAAAATGTTTCAGACGAAAGTTGTATGGTATCGAGGGGGACATATCGTGATGGTAATTGTTTGACCTTGAGATAACATTGGAGAGTCCTGTAAAGGTCAGGTTTAAATTTTTAAATAGAATCCTATATTTTTTGTTGCACATTCTCATAGCTAATACTGAGACGTATTCAAAACACTACCTATACATACATATATGTTCAAAGTTTACGTGTCGCCAGTCCTTGATACCATACAACCTTCATCTGAAACATTTTTTCATATTTCTGATACTTATAGAAATAATTACACGACACTTAAAACGGACATACTGTATAGGGTGACACCGAAATAGGTGGCCGAACTTTGGTACTCTTCCTAAGGAGGAAAATGTAGGCCCGGAAATTCTTCCTTTCCAAGATATAAACACTTCTTGCATTCTTTCTTTTCTTCCTTTTTATATTTTCTATTCTACTATTACAAACCCGTGTAAACTCTGTAAGAAATGCGAGATTCCGGCGGCGAAGTGGTGGCCTGGACTTTGTCACCCGGGAAGAGAAAGCGCGCGGGTACCGGAGGGTCCCATAAACTAAGCCCTTTCCCCGGAAAGTCGAACGAGGGGGTTCCAACGGTTTTTCAGAGTAACGCGGAATACGACGCTGAAAGGACACTCTGGAAATAGCCGTCGAGCGAGACGGACACCGCAACACTTAGCAGTCGCTTAGAACTGCAGTTTAATACATTCTTGGATACCACACTATCCTGTGTTAAATTCATTTAAGCTGTGCTTACAACTCTGTAACTCCGTTGGTATTTCGAAATTCATTATAATATTTCAACCATTACGTATTTTATATATTACATACTTATAGATAAGCCAACAAAACAAATCGACCTTTTACCCAAATACCACGTATACTCCGTTAAATTGTAGCACAAAGGTGTATCGACACGAATAAGATTTCAGAGACAACAGACAGTAAAACTACATTAAAACAAGTAGAACATTCACATAATATTGAAGTTTATTTATGTTGCTCGATATGCACACCTTTAGTAAAAAAAATTCTTGTAGAATTACGCATTTTACGGAACGCCGTGTGTTTATCCGAAAAATATTTTCGAACCAGTATCGATAAATGTGATTACGGTAATTCGTAATCATAATGTCAATACTTGAGAGAACGATGCAAGTGGTGTAATAGTGGATGAAAGTTAAATATAAACAGTGCTAATTACATAATTGGCAACAATCGACATATTTCTTATCTTATCGCATTTTCAACACTCAAATCTATCAACTCGGATATTAAATTTATCAAACAGCATATGATAATGAAAAATATTCTACAGCGATACAAATTGCTCTTGGTAGTATCATTCGGTGTATTTATAATTTCGTGCAACCAGTAACAGTCGAACAGTGCGCATTAGATCATCGGTGCGATCACATTATCCTGCAGCATAAAAAACCAAGCAGTGTTCCGTGTACGTATTTCCTTTTAAAATTCCAGCGTCAACATAAAATGTTGCTTTTATTCCCCTCTCTTTCTTCGCCTGTTCGGTTTATTATTTGTCTCACTGATTGCATTTGACACTGCTACTTCCTATTTACATTAATGCTACATTACATGCTTCACCGACTTTTAATTGTCACTTGTACACGAACGTTGTATGCTTTGTCACGGGAACATGTTAATTTTGAAAATTCGTTACATTATACAGGGTGTCTGTTTTATCTCAATACAGCGAAATATCTTTTAAGGAAGTGACAGTAGGAAAAAAATGTTTTAACAAAAGTTGTTTGGTATGTAGGTGGACGTTGTGTGGTGTAAATACGTTCTTTTGTACCGAGTATGGTGGGGGAGATTTTAAAGTCAGTTTAATTTTTCTAAATGGAATGCTATATCTTTTTACACATAATACGATAGGGTGTGTTAAGACGAGTCCAACGAGTACAATAAGTACCTACCAATATGTTCAATTTTGAATTATTGAAAACTTCCTTCTATGGGTATCCCCTCCACATGTCCTCCATTATTGGGCGCTGTTACTAGCCAGCGTTTCTCTCGTAAACGGTAAGTACAAGAAAGAAACGAAAGAGGAAAAAGTTTTTTAGTTTTCTATGACCAATACAATAGTGCAAGTCCATTTTTCATATTTGCCATATTTTTCGAGAAACGAATCTGACCTATAATATTTTAAACGGAGTGCTACGTATCAAGACGAATTCAGCCATGAGCTACATAATGACCGTCAGGGTAAAATAAGGTCAGAAATAAAAGAATTATTTCGTATATCACGTACCAAGATGTTTACGAGCATTTCTTACTGATGAGTCAGCTCGTCGCAGGTTACTGTTAGAGTGGTTACTTCTGCTTCCACTACTACAAGACAATTTCAGTATTACTTCAGAAACCGTTCACAGCAATATGTCGATATTCGGTAAAAGAGTGCAGAGGAAATAAAAGACGGCGTTAACAGAAGCTAACAGGGCTTAGGTATGCATTCATGCACAAGGAAGCCATATTGAACATCTGCAGCCTCGTCAAGAATAAATATTTGTAGACACATTGGTACGTAATATTCGACATATTTCTTTCATTTCTGGCCTTGTGTGGCCCGGATGGTCATTGTACAGCACATGGATGAATCTGTCTCGATACACGCTTTCATATGACATAAAACAAATATGCGGTATTCTACTTAAAAAATTAAAGGTTACCTTCGTTTCTCGAAATATATGGCCAATATAAAAAATTGATACACGCTATTACGTTGGTTATAGAGAACTGCAAAACTTTCTCCTCTTTCATTTCTTTTTAGTACTTATCATTTACGAGGAAAACGCTGGCTAATAACGTGAACACCTTGTATGTATATGAAAACATGTACGTACGTTGTTTCATAATTGCAATTTCATGTTCATGGTCAAGAAACATAAAAAATTGTACAACTTTGTCATTATTCCTTGTATTGCAAATTAGACAGAAGATTAATTTCACAAATTCGACAAGGAACTACGTATATGAATGACAAAGCTTCGTTAAGCTGTCCGATTAATTAAAGTGTTTTTTTTTTAGAAATAGCTTATATTTTGCTTTTCTGAAATTGCATTTACTATTATATTTAAATTTTTACGAAGTTTTGAAGTCTTTATAAGAAAGCGATAATAATTTTTAAAAAGTTTCGAAGTGATCTTGGAAAAACATAATTTGCACGCGGAAATTACAATCCTTTCAGTTTGTAGCATCTTAATTCACAAATGCTGACGTTCAAACCGGCCGATATAAAAATAAACGTTCTTTCAATGCTGTGCTTCATGTATAATACTTTATGACGAATACAAATTTGATAAACTGAAACCCCATGATAAAAATAATATTTCAAGTGCCACTTGTTGCACAACCGTCTAATTATATGCAATTTGAGTGTACAACGACATAAAAACAGAGGTGAATGAAATGACAGAATTTTACATATTTGTATCATATTCAAAAGTTTTCTACAATTTCTTTTAGATATTAGTCATTTCGTTATTCAATTGTAGGCGTTTTTTGTGGTGTGCTGATGATAATTTGAAAGCCTGTTTACATCATTATTGCAATACGTTTCATAGAGCCTTTAAATTATTTATAAATATACATGAGCTAACACTAAAACTAATAAGTGAAAGATTGATTTTTGAGAAGAGAAAGGTAAATTCTCTAATTAAATGTACTTTCGTTTTACTTTGAGTCCTTAGATATGAAAGAGGAATGAACGAGGATTAGATTAAGGTAGTGTTTACGTAAGTTAATTAGTGCACTAGTTTCGGCAAAATCGTCCAGAAACAAAAAGGAGTTCCGTATTATCACATTTTTCTTCTATTACTTTATGTATTGCCACAGTGAAATATTAAAATATACGCACTTTTAATGATATTCCAGAAGGAGTCTAATTAGGTGCATATAAACAGCTCTTCGCCAGCGCAGCTTTCAATTGCTATATACCCGACGGATATCAGTTGACAATGACCGGCGTTGAAATCCTTTGCGGACTTACCGTGCTTCTTCTTCTATTTTATTATTACATGGTGAGGCCGTATGAAGTCTGGAAGAAAATTGGATTACCTGGACCCACTCCAAGTTTGATTTTTGGTAATTTTTACCCTGTACTAATTGGAAAAACATCGATCGGCGATCAGATGACCAAGTTTTACAAGCAGTTCAAACACCTACCCATATTTGGATTGTATATACGGGGACATCACGTGCTAGCTGTAAATGATCCCAACGTAATCAAGACAGTCCTTATCAAGGACTTTTCGAAATTCGCAGATCGTGGAATTGCTTTGAACGAAGTGGTAAGTACGCAAAAAAGTAATTTTATACCTTATGTATATTTGTATAATTTTGGTTGGACATTTAATATGAAAAGAAAGAGTATGAACAGAATTGGTAGAATGGTTAGGAAATTCTAGTGGAAGTACGATCTGTAATGTCTTTCATTCTTATTCAAGTCCTTTTAAGCGAAAATATTATTTCTTTATAACAATAGAGAGATAATGTGTATAATTCGGTACAATTTCTATCTTTCAAATAAAATTTCAGAATAATACTAAACATTCGTATCACTAACGATATGAGGTAATACTAAAATGGAGTTATGAATTGCCTATGTTTATAGTACAAAGATATTTCATTAAACCTCTGCATTCGTTTTTCTACTATTAAAATTATTATAATAGGGTTGTTCGTGTCTGTACCAAATCGTGACAAAAATAATTGTATAAATTACTACAAACAGGTTGAAACAGTGATAGAAATGTTTCAAGAAAAATATGTGGTAATTATTGGGAACAGGGTCCTCAGCACCGATTTCAATGTTTTCTTTAGTTTTCGAGATATCGGTAAAAATATATTGCCTATTTCATTCCAGTTTTTCTTTTAACCATAAGATATGTTGGCAAGGACATCATTTTGTTTCTATAAATATAAATATAGATTGATTAGGTTAGGTTAGATTAGATAAATATCTAGTTATATAAAGCACTCAAGTCCGTTCAATTTAAGAGTAACCTCGCTCTCGGACCGATTTTCGTCCGTCCTGCGCAGTTCCCACTACTACCTACCAATGTGACGCATGCGATTGGTCGTAGCGCTATTTCGGCTAGGCCCAAGAGCGACGACAATGTAAACAGTGCATCGAGTGGAGAGAATCTACCCGGTGGTCTAAAAGTATGCGCACCTAATGTGTGCATGTTAATAGTTGTATGAATTTAGCCGGACAAAATAAAATTATCAATATTTAGGGAACGATTCAAAATCATTTAAATTCTTAAATGACATATTATAAAGTACCTAATTTCATTAGGTACAAAAAAAAAAAAGAAAAGAGAAAAAGAGTAAATAGAGAATTAATTATATCACCGTGTATGTATATGAAAGCGTCACGCCTGGAACAGTAGACGGAAAGCGTAGCTGAGGGTAAGACGGAGAAAAAGTAGGCGGTTAAGTAGGGGTGTGGACGTTCTATACTCTGTTCAAAATGAGAGTAACCTCGCTTCGCGCATGGGACGTGCCTAAGGCAGGGCTAGAAGCTCTAGAACGTCCAAACCCCCACTTAACCCTCTGCTATGCGCAGAACGGACGAGAATCGGTCCGAGAGCGAGGTTACTCTCATTTTGAACGACGTATAGCTCTGCCTTAGGCACGTCCCATGCGCGAAGCGAGGTTACTCTTAAATTGAACGGACTGTAGATAAATGTGCAAAGTATTTTGCTTTATTTGTTCGTTTGACGCGTTCGTTAATGATCACTGTTGCTTAATGGCCACTTTGCGATGGTCAAATGAACTCGTTAATGATCAACTAACAATGAACGTTGACTGTAGCTCACTTACTGGCGACCGAATTAATCGTTAATCGTTTAAATTTATTTTTCTCAATTTCACGTTGTTCCGCAATAAGGATTCTAAATGCTAAGAGATTAAGCAAACAAAGCCAAACGTAACTTAAACATAACGTAAACATGTACTAAACTCAACGTAAACTTATCTCAAACCTACAGAATATGATACCCAACAGTGAAAATATGTTTGCGTAAAAATTTTAAAAACTAAAGAAATCCAGCGGTAACATATACTATAGGTATAAGGATTAGCTTTTTTAGAAATTTTTTAATAGAAATTTTTTAAGAATTTTTTAAATAGGTTTTCAGAAATTTAGAAATTTTAGAATAAGTTTTAAAATCATTGAAATTGACGCGAGGACCCTATTCTCAATAATTACCAAATATTTTTGAAACAAAATAATGAACAGTAATTAAACTTTATAATAGCAACTTTTAAATGAATTTTGCAATTTGAAAGAACGTGAAGAATTATGTAGATTCCAGTGTAAGATTTGGGGAAAAGATATTTCTAGCGATATCGTTCATTAATCATCGTTCATCAAGTGTTCACTAAAAGAAATGTGAGAAGATATGAACACGTTTGAACACTTTCCGGTCTGTTATTTTTAATATCATGGGCATTTGCCGATGTTTTGAAAGACTTAATCAGTGGTACGTGACAATATCAGTCACTGCTATATGATAACAAAATAAGACTGAAGTAATATTAAATTAGAGCTACAGATCCATATCTGTTCGATATTTCAATATCCAATACTTTGATTTCTATTATTGAAAAATTGTTACACCAAACTTTTTTGCTACGACGCAAAATGAAATATCTTAGTACATATTTAGTAAATAGAATCTTTCACCGTAGTTCCTTTGTTTCCTTTAAAAGTATACTTTCTATCTTTGTCCCTAGGTCAATTTGCATTTGTTTATGTCCCCACAACAATTGCATTAGATTTCTGGTTTCTTGTTCCTAATTTCTCTTTTATATTTTCTTCTTGCTACATCCTCCTCATTTTCTTCCCCGTATACATCTCCTTTTCCTTCCTTCTTGCATCTGTATTACCACTGATCGCTAAAGAATTCTTCGTAACTTTCCATAATTAATTCCCTATTTCCCAATATCAATTATTTCCCAACAGTTTCAGAGAAAATACTCACACTAAGAAAATTTTCCAACACAGGCGGAACCGCTTTCTCAACACCTGTTCGCTCTAGAACCTAAAAGATGGCGACCTCTGAGAACAAGACTGACACCACTGTTTACATCGGGTAAAATAAAGGATATGCTTGCTCTTATCCTTGAGAGCTCGAAAACCCTTGAAAAATATTTAGAGACATTAGTGGAGAAAGAAACGTCGGTCGAAGTACGAGAAATTGCAGCCAAATTCACCACCGATGTAATCGGTAGTTGTGCATTTGGCATCGATATGAACGCTATATCGAATGAGCAATGCCAATTCCGTGAAATAGGAAGAGAATTTTTCGGTCCTGGCTGGAAACAGGGACTCAGGTTGAGAATGAGAGAAGCATTTCCAAGACTCTACACACTTCTGGGCTATCTACTACCAGAAGATCAAATGACTACCTTCTTTACAAAAGTTGTCATGGATATGATCGAATATAGGAAAGAGAATAATGTCGTTAGACCAGATTTCATTAACACATTAATGGACATTCAGGCACATCCTGAAAAAATAAATATCGGTATGCACTCGAAACTTCTTCTTTTAAAGATATAGCCACTAATTTTGAATTACACAACGGTTAGTTATAATTGCAGACGGACACTTTCATAGTGAACTTGAATCCTTATCAGGTTGGTTAAAATACTCGGTACATCTCGCCTACACGATTTTGAGGAACACATGATGATTATGCATGTGATTAAATGAAAAATCAACTATGTCCTACCCAACTGTTTTTTTTTTTTTACGTGGGGAGATCCTCATGGACTCTTACCGGCTAAAACCCCACGGTGGCCATCCTCGGCGCGGCGGGGTGGGCTCGGGATCTCGTGACGAACGCCACCGGACCCACCCCATGCCTGACCCCTCCCTCAAGATGTTCGAGGAGGGAGGGGCGCCATCCCGGAGGGGGTCAAAAGGACCCCTTCTCCATCTCCGAGGCGACGCCCCCACCGCGGGCCGCATGCAGTGGACTGCCGAGTCCCCTCTCGACAGCCCTGCGACCCCAGCCATCCGCGCAAAGACTTGGGGCGTGTCCCGCGCTCAAGGAGGCAGGGCTTCCCCGCGCGGGCGGCTACCAACCGGATACGACGGGAGGAGGAGAGACTCCTCCCCCGGGCCCGTGCACTTGGGTGCCTCGTGGTCGTGAACTCCCGTACCGCAGCCGATGGTAGTCCATCAGCTTTTTTAGTGGTGCTAATTCGAACAACTATACTCATACTGTGAAATTATGCAGTAATTCAAGATGACTTTAAAACAAGAGATTTGTCACTCATGTTTAGTAGTCCTATAAAGTCTACCATTTATTAAAGTTTTTCGATAGGACTTTCAATAGGACCCTACATATTAAACATGATTTACAAGATTCATGTTTAAAAAGTTATTTCTGTGAAAAAGCAAATTGCACATACTTCTTGTACTTGCACGTTTCATTGGTTAGATTCTGTAGGAACCGAGGAAAGAATTGAGGGACGGCTGGCAAGCCGAAACAGTGCGCACTACGCCAATAATGCCTTCTCTAATTTTTCTTCCTTGATGTTCCTTATTTAATTATAGAGGCCCTGATCCTACAGATCTGTATTTAATCTAAGGTCATTAATTAACGTCACTTATGTGTTTATTTAATCGAAAAGTAAATGCTGAATTAGAAAAGATAGTGAGCTCTCGTATTTCAATAATATAATTTCTTTTGCCTCTTATAACAAGCGGTGGCTTGGAATCATTGAAAAGTAAAAGTGGGCTAAGAAGAAAATTTAGAAGTAGAATTTCGAGTATTGTTTTCCATCCTACAAGAGCAGGTCGAATTTGGTTTTAAATTGCAGTGTTCGACGAGTATAAACGAATTGTCAAACATTACGCATACTTGATCAGCCGATACATTTGCGAAAAATCCTTCGATATCGACTAATATTGCTGGTTAGTTACAGAAAATGTCTAGTTACTGTGGACATTTCATCTAAATATCTAAACAAATGTGTTCACTAAAAATTTTTTAATAAAACTTTGCATCTTTTTGTTTCTCCTACGGTATAATATTTCTAACAATACACGAGCGTCTTACGCTTGCAGCAAGAGGGTTAAATATGAAACTAATCTTTAAAATGAAATTTTTCTATAATATTTTGCAGAATTAACGAAACATTTGTTGGTTGCTCAAGCGTTCGTCTTTTTCGTAGCTGGCTTTGAAACGTCAGCGTCAACAATATCCAATGCTCTTTATGAATTAGCACAGAATCAGGATACACAGGACAAGCTACGAAACGAAATTAGGGAGCATTACAAGCGAAACGAAGGAGAATGGAAATATGAAAATATCAAGGATATGCCATGCTTAGATGCCGTGTTTAAAGGTTTGTGCTATTATGTATAAAATTTTAAACATTGATATATTTAATCTTCATAAAACATTTTACATTACACATGAGCAATTGAATGTTATTGCAGTAGCAATCGGAACTTTGCATATTAATTGTAAGTTAAATTTTTCCTTACATTTCTGCAGAGCTGAGTGTTCACTTTAAAAGTAATTACATGTATATTGGAATAAAAATTGCACAAAATTTTATCTTGGTGAAACATACTCAAAAACCTCGATAACAACGAAAGGTGTGCAAATTTTTAACGCACTCCTTTTTCCTTTCTATTATTAGAAACCTTAAGGAAATACCCACCGGTGACAGTTATTATGAGGAAAAATAGTGAACCCTATACTTTTGAAGATGTAAACATTACAATACCAAAAAATACGAGAATATTTATTCCGGTATACGGCATACATCGCGATCCTGAGATTTATCCAAATCCTGATGTGTTTGATATTGACCGATTTAAAGAAGATGCAGTAGCGACAAGGCATCCTATGCATTATTTGCCTTTTGGCGATGGACCAAGAAATTGTATCGGTACGTAAGAATCAAAGACAAATGAAATTTAGTTCTGAATTTTATACACAACGAAACAAACTCTTTAGAAGACATGTAAAGAAGTTTTTCTTAAAATCTTCGTCTATGTATTTTGAAGTTCTAAGTTAAATAACTTTTGATATTTCAAAGTACCGCATTTAAGAAAAGTTTTACATGAAATACAATTTTTTAGTGGAATCCATTTTAAGGTGTCCAATTTTACCGTTTGCGATTCAATACTATTTATTTCAAAATTTTCAGATTTTTCATAAAACTAAAATTTACTAAAAGTTATACGTACATTTAATATATTCAAATCGGTCCTTGAAACACGTCTTTGATATGAATTTTATACAAAATTTACAATTACTTAATTGTTAAATACTGTGACATAATTTAATGTTCTTTTGCTTTTATAGGTGCACGTTTCGCAATTTTCCAAACGAAAATTGGACTGATTAAGATTCTTCGTAACTATAAGCTTGATGTTTGTGAACAAACACAAATTCCATTCATAAATGAACCACGCACGTTCACGTTGGCACCGAAACACGGGCTTATTCTGAAAATAACCAAAACAGGAAGTTGATATAATGTTTCGTAATATTAAGAATATTCAAATTAAGCATTCCATTATAAAATTGGTGAGCGAGCGATTGAAGTCTTTTACTTAGGCACGTGCGCATATTTTCATACTTTTCATGAAAGTAAAAGTGGCTCGTTCTATGTGAAACTCGAATCATCTTTTATTTAAACGAAAAATTATTTAAAGGGATTGTTAATGAAATCATTCGCTAAGATTAAAACGAAACGGGAAGTTATAATAATAACAATGAGATTCTTTAAAAAATTCATGAAAAATGTATTTAACATTTTCATTCTGTTTTATTCGTGTCAGCAAATGTATATTTCACATTTCACTTTACACTTTCATACTGAACTTGAATCCTTATCAGCGTCGTCCCTTCTCCAATTCTTCTAAATTTTGAAGAAGGGACGCGAAGGGAGGTTCCTAAAATTACGAAGTGACCAACCCCGTTGGTCACACCCTTCCATTGCGCCCGGAGCACGACACGCCCTTAGAGCGGGGGTGACGAAGCTGGTCCTTGCTGACTCTCCGACTCGCTCTGAAAGTAAAGTACCGAGTGGCCTCGGTAATTACATACATCTGTTCTCGAAGGCCCTTTTGGATGTGACTTTACGATACCTTGCCTTACTGACTGAACAATAGCCTATTTTTTAATATTTGAGAAAGTCTAGGCGCCGCATGTTGGCTAAATTAAAAATAACAGTTTACCTAAATGAAAATCACGTATCATAAAATCGTCCCCTTGCTGTCCTAACAATCTGACTAAACTAGCAAAATTATGTGCATATGAAAAGTAATTACAGTATATTAATAATAATTGCTGTTATTACATTATATTAAGTTTAACATAATTTTTAGTATTAAATATGGTCAAATATGGAACAAGTGTGCTACCTTGTACTTATACAAATTGTTAATCATTCTTCTGTGTTAAGTTCTTGTCGCGTCGCGTTCGCGTGTCTGATCGTTTCAAACTGATTTCCGCTCACGACTTGTTACCCGCCAAATTAATCTTGGATAACTGTTTCAAAAATCTACCTTGCTCGTACGTTAGCAAAACGTAGAGTGCGTCACGAACGATTGACGACTTGTGTCGAAGACTCGATTTGGACTTGAACGGCTGTAGAGTATGTGTTGTTCACACGAGTGACTGTTTGCGAATCGTGTCTCGAGTCCCCAACGTTTTCCGGAGTCCGCCTTGACTCCCCCGCCAAGTGCAAGAAGGCACGCTGATTGGTTTTTCACGTACGCACAAATTACCAATCAACGTGCCCCTTGAGTGGCACTCACCCTTCCATTGCGCCCTTAGCGCGCTTTTCCTTGGGAAGAGTGGGGCCCTACCTACGGGTGCGTGGAATCTTCGCTGTCCTTCGGTGACGCGTCGGAAATTCCCGCCAGGTCGACCCTCGGCCGAAAGTGCCGTTAATACGCGCGTGGCTTGACCTTTCAGGACTACCTGGTTTATGACACGTCTTCGGTTATTGAGGACGCGGATAAGTCGAAATTCTAAAGGCATTGTTCTGTAAGAAATTACTTATTTTTCGCGGAGCTATGAAGCGTCTTTGTTCTCAAAAATAACCTTCTCGTGCGAGCGTGCCATAAACTCGGTCAACGAAGACCCCATGCGTTCCGTACCTGCGCGACGGAACATTCTTCATTAGTGTATACACGTTTAATCTATGAAACTTACATTGCATGCTTGTAACAATTTACGCACCACTAGATGCTATAAACAATACTTCATACGCGGACGTTTTTTATATCTTGTAAGCGGCTTCATCTTCAGAAAAATCATTATGCTCATACGAGACATTTTCTCATACTAAGTAATTTTTATTCGGAAAAATTCTATTTCGTGTATATGTACACAATCCAGATGTTCAAAGTGGTAATCTTTATTGGTCCACCCTATATAATTTTTAGAAAGTGTAAATATAAAGAGTATTCCATTGTCGCTATGTCATTCTCCCGCAAAGTTTCTGACGTCAATTATTTAGCCATTGTTATGATGTGCTCGTGGTAGTTGCAACCAACTTTCGAGCTTTGTGCACGTGGTGTAGTTTTTCGTGTAGTTTTCCCACCTATGATTTTAACCAGCCACCCTTCCCCACCACTATCGAAAAATGTACTCAACCTATCCGAGGGCCTCACCCCCGCGATGCGTCCTCGCACGGAGGTGTCGTGGGACCTTTCGCGGAAGGGAACGACAGAAGTGATCTGACCACGCCAAGAGTCGCTCCTTTTAGAAGTTCAGACCATTAGCAATAGTTGTTTTGTCCTCCTAATCACGGAGGTGGTCCTTCGAAGACGAACCTATTAGATTTAGTCGGCACACACGTGCAAAAACCGGCAACGCTTGAAAGATCGAAAGATCAACGCAAGCCCTAACATTTACAGTGACAGCAATTCTAAATCTTTATTCTTAGTTACAGTAGCTTTTATAATGTGATAGTGAGGCGGTGAGGTAGTGGGGTTCTTGTCCAGTCGTCTGTTTTTGAGGGTTTTTATCTAGTCGGTTCTGAATAATGGTCCAAGGTGCGGATGTCTCACTGATGCGTCATTCTTATCTTGGTAGGGATGTTCGGACGTTACATGTGTTCATCAGTCCCTGGTCCAAAATATAAGATTACGATACGTTAATTGATATTGAACACGAGAAGACAAAAAACCAATTAAGCGTTAGGCGTTTCTCCCGATTGTAAAGTTAAATGCACGCTAAGAAAATCAAATGTTCGATTTTTCAAAAATAGCAAATGTGTCGATCGTACCGTAAACTTAGGATAATCTTTTATCCTAGCACATTGGATATTATTATCAAAGATTCGGAGAATTATAAAATGTATACAAATGGAATACATTCATATATGTACATACACGTATATCAAAAAAAATAAATCCAGAAAGGTTTCTTCTTACACTATCCTCATTTATGGCATTTATTGTATTGAGCAATTGAAAATACACAATAAGACAAGATGTTCACTTCTTAAACAACTAATTTAGAACGATTGGAAATGTTATTTGTTATTAAAACTTTATATTTTTAATATTTAGAATGCTAGAATAACTTATCCTATCAGCTGTACAGTATATTCTCCACAAGTGTCAGACCGCAAGGAAGCTAAACCTGACACTCGTAGAGTCAGGGACTACGTTTTCGAGCCTCGCGCCGGCCTTTGTAGTTTGCCAAACGTAGACAAGGACAGCGAATAAAAGATAAGCATGAAACGTAAGTCCAGGCAACCAAGCGATTTAAATATCAACTTTTTTAATTTTACGTTTTTTTATTCCGAAATTTTTCTTAACATATTCATGAGATTTTTCTGATGAAAATAACATAAAACACGACATAATTTGAG